TGAGTTGGGTATGACTAGGGGAAGAGGGCTAATAGACAGGAAATGGCCATTTCGGTCTTCCCAAGCGTCGCAACTTCAGCTTGTAAATCTTCACTAAAAATCAAAATCTGACTGTCTGCGAGCGGTCTTAAGTCACCTTCATTGCACAAAGGGGAATGGATGTCCATTAACTAGATCGGTTAGCCGCACATACATTCCAATAGAGGTCAAGTTAGGTCAAACAACTGTTTTGGAAAAAAAGGGGCAATCATATGTAATCAAGCTTCGACGGTGATTGCCCAGGTCGTAATCACGCTTTATTCAACATGTAAAAGTGTTAACATTTAAATAATGTAAACGCTTGCTACTTATTTGCTGCTTGCGCCAATAAGCGGCCACCATGTGCTTTTCACTGTATTAATATGTGTCGTTGACGGTAAATGTATGATTTTTGGCCAATGTTTCAAAGGCGTGCGTTGCACCTTAGTACATGTGGTTACGCCTCATCACTATCAGCTGACGTTCACGGATGTGCATATGGACGACTTTTATGTCTTGTGGCCACAAGTGTCTTTCGCCGAGTTCCGACACATGCCTTATTTAAGAAACATTCTACAGGTATTTGTGTTGAGCACATGCTTGCAAACACCTTGTTCATCTTCGGATTCTTTTTGTTGCATGCATCAACTTGCAAAATCGTTGGAGCAACTAGTTTTGGAAAATACTTTAAACAGGTAATGAAGCTCGATTCAGAACGTTTGACATCAGGGCAATACATTTTTTGCTCGATGTAGCGGACCGTTGACAGACCGCGCTGTGTCTCTTATAGCGAGGAAGAACTTCCGCATATTTATTTTGAAGCAAGCTGCCGTCAATATTGTTCGGTCAGTCTTTAACTGCACTAGAACATTTGAAAATGTGAGTTCACTAACAATTTCTTCCTCAAGCGCAAATTTAATTGGCAAAGTGGTTGAGATATTTCGCTGCAGGACGTTTATAGTTGGCAGTCTTTAAGGACAACAAAGGTGTCGTCTTCATATCATATCCTCAACTAAAAATACACTATGGGCAATGCCGCAGACTCCAGCTTCTGCCACTTCGTCAACAAAAAGCCAGAATTAGAAAAGTCTAACAGCATAATTACCTTAACTATTCCGGGAGCTCATATCACACATGCTGAATAAATTGAAAGGAAACGGCAAGAGTGTTTTGGTACAAGGAAAAGGCTGACAGAACATTATACGAATGCTTTCCCACAAATAAAAGAAAGTAACGAAAGTAACTGTACTCAGTGAAGTCAACAGCCGCATCTCTACAATTGACATGCATTTCATGATCAGAGAAGTAGAGTTTCGAGTGGGCTACGCTGCACCGGTCGTATAGTTGCGTGTCCAACTGTCGCTGCAGAGATCAATAGAGGGGTGCTAGGAAGACCAACATGTACAATAGCTGCTTACTTACAAATTTTAAGTAGGGGTGAATTTCTAAAATCTTCAAAATTTTCGTGCGCCCGCCGTTGGTCCAGTATGGAGTGGTGATGATATTGAACTGTATAGGGGTCATCGGAAGGCCAACATGAACAATAACCGCTAAAGTCAGCTTATTAGGCAAACGAGCTTTCCAAATTACCAATGGAAACAACAACTTACTTATAAATGTTAAGTTGGGAGAATTTCCGAATTTTCCCATTTTCGTTCTCAGCCCAACTCACTGGCCTCACCCAAGGTCAGCTAACACCCCCAACATACACACACTTGCCATTGGTCCAGCAGGGGTTAGTGATGATGGTAAAATGTACCTCAGCGACCTCACCTAAGGCCAGCGAAATCTCCCCCCAGTTACACGCATAACTTCCTTAATTTACATGATTATTGTACTCTGATTTGTCTGTAAATATGCCCCACCCATTCTACCTCCCAAAACCAGGGGCTCGTATGGTAGTGGA